TCCCGCCATGGTGCGATGCCTCCACCCCTCCCGCCATGGTGCGATGCCTCCACCCCTCCCGCCATGGTGAGATGCCTCCACCCTTCCCGCCATGGTGAGATGCCTCCACCCCTCCCGCCATGGTGCGATGCCTCCACCCTTCCCGCCATGGTGAGATGCCTCCACCTCTCATTTGGCTTTCTAATGACTGCAACAATTGGCCAGAACTGAAGATTTAAGGGGGGAGAGACCTCCCCGGGTCTCTGTGATCTGTAAGAGAAATCAAATTGCCATCCAAAAGTCAAAATGGGGGGTGTCTGTTTGGGTGGAGTTGGCCTTTATTGCCCCTCTTGATAGACGTGACATGAGGTGGAGCAGAGTTTTTCCTGTCACATTGTGTCTGATAGACTCTCAATCATTCCAGAAGTTGATTTGTTTCCTCCTTTTTTTTTCCCTCTTTCAGCTTTTTCATGGCAGAATTGGAGCAATGCCTGAAGGACCCGGACCGCCTGGCGCCGCTCTTCATTAAACAGGTGAGAGTCTCGTACGTTTCCGGATTCTTCCATGTGTGTGCGCGTGCAGAGTCGCGGTATTCCCGCCCTGCGTGCCGCCGCGTCCCGCTACAGGAGGATTGGAAAGAATTATAATATATATATATATGTATCATTATATCATTTACAATATAAGGAAGACATTACAATCACAATACAATACATGGCAAGGAGGGCCCTGCCCCTGAGGGCTTACAATCTAAAAGGGGAGGGGCCAGTAATACATGAGGAGGGAGCTGTGTGGGGATGAATGGTTGAGCGGACAGGTTGAGGTGGGATCGGCTTCCCTGAAGAGATGAGTCTTTAGGGATCGTCTAAAGGCAGTCAAGGTGGGAGATAGACGGACAGGTCGGGGTAAAGAGTCCCAGAGGATGGGAGAGACTCTAGAGAAGTCCTGGAGGCGAGTATGGGATCAGTGGACAAGGGAGGTATTGGGAAGAGCGGTGGGGACGGTTAGGGTGATATTTTGAGACAAGGTTGTAGATCTAGTCGGGGGCGGGGTTGTCTCTTGCTCAGTCCTGATGGTGGAGAGCTCCTCGGACCATCCTTCATACTGACCTTTTCATGTTGCTGATGTTGTGCGTCCCGTGTGCTTGCAGGAGAGGAAGCTGCTCATGTACGTCGTGTATTGCCAAAACAAACCTCGCTCGGAATATGTGGTCGCAGAATTCGACTCTTATTTTGAGGTAAGAAAATGTCATTGGCGGACAGGTAAGGAGTGCGACCAGCCCACCTGAGGGTGACCCTGCAGAGCCCACCATAGACAGTCTATGGTGGGCTCTGCAGAGTCACTCTCAGGTGGGCTGTGTGGGGGTCTCAGGTGGGCGTAACTAGAAATCACATACAAGATTTTGCTACGGGCCCCTGTGATTTCTAGTTCAGCCCCTGTTACTGAGCATGCTGCATCTAAAATGAAATGATACATCCGATGACAGGTCCGCTTTCAATGTGCCAAGTCAGCATCTTTATACGTACCTCTGCTCAGGACTACAGCCCCTTATCACATGTTTCCGTCCTGCAGCTATTCATGGTAGTAACTGAGAACCGTCTATATAACGTCTGATTCTTCTGTAGGAGGTGAAGCAGGAGATCAACCAGAGATTCAATATCAGCGATTTCCTTATTAAACCCATACAGAGGATAACCAAGTACCAGCTGCTGCTAAAGGTAAGCCCCGCCTCTTACCCCGGCCCCCTCCTGGTCTGCGGCCGCCATTTCCCCCGCGAGCAATAAGAATGATCTGCTCCTCCTCGGCAGTAACTTGTCTTTCTGTCTTTCAGGATTTCTTCAAGTACAGTCAGAAGGCCGGTCTGGAATGCTCTGAGATTGAGGTTTGTATTGA